ACGACGTTCAGGGTGATGACTCTACCTGTTGTTCTTCTTCTCTTATCAACCCGGTCTTGTTTTCCTGACCTCGTAATCTGGTCACGTTTTACATGTCCCACGTGTATTGACCATGCGTCCATGCGTAACGCGCCGTTTTTAACTTAACGCATTGATGAACACAGTTGAGTGCGCGGAAACGCTATTGAGTTTTAGTAGTTTTGTTTTGTGTATAAAGCAGATGTGCACAAATAACAGTTACCTCATTGATGCGCGTCTGTACAGTTTTTTGGTGTTTCTGTAAGTTGCCGGTTTGGCAACGGTCAACGGGACGATTACGATTTGACTACGATTCAGGGTGGTAGGCGTCCAATTGTAGATCGTCTAGATACTTCGACGTCTGGGATGAGGATGTAAGTGTCACCGCGCGATCCCCCACCGATGACCGAGTTCGGGGCCTACAAAAAGACTTTCGGTGCCTACAAAGGAAAAAGAAAAGAAGAAAATTTGCAGAGCCCTCATTACACGTCATGCCCTCCAGTGTGGTCTCTCCGTCGGAGACGCCCTGTCATCGACGCATGACGCATTTAGGGACGGAACGCTTAGTCAATAGGAAGGATCATCCCTACGTGGTTTATAAGCGGTGGTTTGTAATAGCCGGCTTTTACCAATTTTTCCGGAACGAAGAGGTTCGCCGGCTGTAAACCGATCACTCGGTCGGCGCTCGTTACCAGGCGTGCGGGACGGAACAGCGGCGCAAACTCTGCTAGTAGTGATCCGGTACCAGCCTTCTATTAGCTATTTAAGCTAATACATGCGCTATTTATTTTTACCCTGGCTATTGAAAGACTCGAGCTATTTAACGGGCAAATGGGAACGCCAGAACAAATGTATTCCACACTAGTCGTAAAATCGGATCCGCGGCGGCGACACCGAGGGGTCTGCTCGACACCACGGCGAGGTAGGGTCGCGCGACACCTCACCGCCCCGCCTGTGTGTCGGGTCCAGTCCTATGAGACCACTTGCATGTTGTCGCTGGTCGGTTTAATTATTATATGGCTGTTTGGCCCCTGTTGCACAACTGTATGAGCGCCCTTAAATGTTCACTTTACCTTAACCAATTTTGGATGTGTTAGAGCTAAGAGGCACACGTCATAATCACTAGTCCTTTAGTTGCTCCGGTTGGTATGCCTGAACTTTACTCGGCCCGCCACACAGCGTAACAAAATTTTTCCATCGCTGTTTTCGTCCGTTATGTGCGAAATTTGATGTGGATTTTGTGTGAGGGTAAGGCAAAGGGTCGACCATGTTTGTGCCGTCGACCCTCTACCCTCTCGGGGGTGGAGGGTGTCAATGTTAGTTTCTACGGTAAACGGGCTGTACGTTTGTACAACCACAAGGAACGAGCTTTGAAGCTTTTTGTCTAACCTTATAACCGGACACTCCGTAGACCGGAAAAACATACCTGCACCTTACCTTGACATTGTGTGACTGGCACGAATTCCTCTACAAATAAACTAACACTCTGTTCACATCGAGTATTAACTAATAATATATTATATAACTATATGTTAATAAATAGATTAGATATATTTAGGGCTACCATATCTGCTCTACCTAGCTCTTCGAGACAAAAGGTCGCGACTCAGCTAAATTACAATACAAAACCAACACACACTAAATAATTAGAAATATAATTAAAAACTAACACTCTGTTACACACGAGTATAATTAAATAAATATATATGATGCATTATATATATATATATATTATATATATATGGGCATATAGTGATCGGATGGATTATATTGGGCCGCCAAAGGGATGCACCGAATATTCGGCCGCCGAAAATTATCGGCCGAAAATGGTTAAAAAGGCCCTTTCGGCTTTCGGCCGAATGGGTTCTAGCACCGAAAAAATATCACCGAATGTCAGAGAACAGGGTTAAGTTGGTAAGCTAACGTGTTGTTGTGATGGCGTAATCAAAACGCGGCGACAAGCACGGGGCGGGACCATGCTCGCGGCTGGATCACAGCCAACATGTCTGCCGCTTGGAGATATTTAAAAATATCAGAGAGAGAGGCGCGGATTGCGATTTGTAAAACTTGTTCAGCTGACATTTCTCGAGGGGGTGTAACTGCAAAGACTTTCACCACTTCGGGATTACTCCACCACTTGAAATCAAAACACCCGGACAAATATGTGGAGTATGATCAAATCACAAGCACTGACAGCGAGAGACTGTTCAGCGCTGCCTCTCATGTGTTTGATGGGAAGAGGAACAGACTAGATAAGGCAGAGAAGCTACTGTTCATTAAAAAGAACCTCCCACTTTTCCTTAATAAGTAGACAAGGCTGGCTTATCATAAGCTTATCTAGTTCTACATGTCTACTCTATACCCACTTTCCTGAACAATTTTCATTGTGAGTTATAATTCACCATCTCAGGTTATCATTAGGGGGAAATGACAGCAGCACAGTGTTCAATATATTGTACTTTCGGTATCTAAATGATACTATGTTGTTTACATTGCTCATGAGGACAGACCACCTTATTTGCAGATTCTTGAAATTGTAATTTAATTTGTAATTGATTGTGGATTTTGAATCCAGTTTTCACTTTATGTATCTTTATACAATGTTTACTACTTTGCTTATGAGGACAGACAGCCTTATTTACAGATTCTTGAAATTCAATTGTAATTTCATTTGTAAATAGTTACATTCATGTGGATTTATCCAGTTTGCACATTTGTATGCATGCACTTATAGGTGCATTTGTTGTTGTTGAAGGCCTGGCTGTTAGTCTTTATTTACACTATTTTGTTGTAGGCCTACTGGCCTAGATGTTTATGCAGTTTTAAAGCACCTTGGCTTTGTTCTGAATGCACTTTGTTGTAGTTATCCTACAGAGAAAATGCACTTGACTTGGAATTAATGTACTGTATGCATTCAAAAGTGCTGAATAAATGTTTTATGGACCCATAATAGTGATTATTATTTAAGTTAAGTTTTGCCATAATCATGTCTTTTTCCATAATCAGGTAGCTGAACAACATTGGTAAAAAATGTATACATTATATATATATATATTTCTATTAATCATTTTCGGCCTTCCTTTCTGTGTAAAAAAGCTTAATTTGTATAATTACTACTAGTGCTTGAAGCTGTCAGATAAATGTAACATAGTAGANTCTGAATGCACTTTGTTGTAGTTATCCTACAGAGAAAATGCACTTGACTTGGAATTAATGTACTGTATGCATTCAAAAGTGCTGAATAAATGTTTTATGGACCCATAATAGTGATTATTATTTAAGTTAAGTTTTGCCATAATCATGTCTTTTTCCATAATCAGGTAGCTGAACAACATTGGTAGAAAAAATGTATACATTATATATATATATATTTCTATTAATCATTTTCGGACTTTCGGCATTCGGTTTTCGCCCAACTGTTTCCTATTTTCGGTATCGGTTTCGGCCAAGAATTTCCCATTCGGTGCACCCCTAATAATAAGTATATTTTTCATTCAAAGAATCTCCACCTTTCTGTGTAAAAAAGCTTAATTTGTATAATTACTACTAGTGCTTGAAGCTGTCAGATAAATGTAACATAGTAGAAGTATAATGTTTCCCTCTACATGTAAAGACTTAAGTTAAGTACAAATATCAAAACATTTTCAGCACTTGAGCGAAATGTTGTTGGCCTTCATTCCACCTCTCTAAAGGGAGCACTTGAATGCAGCATTCATTCCACCTCTCTAAAGGGAGCACTTGAATGCAGCATTATTAGTTAATTTGCAGCTCTTTATCCAGCAGTAGTGAAACAACACCAAACACTGACAACAACCGTCCCTGTGGTTGCAAGAGTACACGGTGGAAGACACACCACCCAAGGACACCGTTGACACTTTAATGAGCCAGACATTGAATGCAACACAGCTAGCTGGTTCGTCTTACCAAAAACCGAGTGGAGCTCGTGCCCTGGTCAATGGCAGCCACCAGCGGACCCATCGTTATCCGGTGTGAGGACGCAGCCATGGTACTGTTCATGGGCAGCCCCGGAGCTTTGCCAACGGACTAGATAGGAAACCGATTACCAACACCGGCAATGCTTCTCAGGGTAAACCAAAGAAGGGTGCTGTCGCAGGTTAACAACGTACACTTCGTTCTGGCGCTCAGAAATGACGCAACCAGTTGAGTCCTTGAATCAAGAGTGCAACAAACATTAGCACTTATCCAATACGTTTTCACCTAATAGCTAACAATGCGTTTAGATTACTGAGCAATTCTGATGATTTGTGAATATTACAAGGGTTTGTGATTCCACAACGACTATAGGAACATATTATTTGTCAAAATGGTAGTTCCCATACCGGGAGTCGAACCCGGGCCGCCTGGGTGAAAACCAGGAATCCTAACCGCTAGACCATATGGGACCGGTACGCAAATCTGGGCCATCTTTTCATAATAAATCTATAACAAGAAAGTTACTATAATGATTTCTACTTCTTTACTTATCGTCTGCATACAAATATATGCCCCAATTATTTGTTAGGCAAAGGGTTTCTAATTGTTATAGTCGGTGAGATGTACAATTTGTTCAATTCGTAAAAAAAGAACCTCGAGGGCTCGTCTCTACGGCAACTGGAGATGACATCATCAGAAACGGACTCTGTTGTTATTCATGAAATGTGGGAAGCTGTTGTCATGTTTGGTTCATTTTAAATTATTTCGTCGTATTTTAACCACTAAAAACCTAAAATGTAAGTATGGGGATACATGAAATGTGTCTTTCTTTCAGTTAATGGTTTGTTGTATATAAGTAAAACAATTATAATCAACCCTGGGCAGAAACTTAGCCGGCTAGCCGCGTTAGCTGTACAAAGCTAAAGGAAATGTACCTGTATTTCACAAATGTTCAGTTCCCTAATGATAGTTTGGTTCATTTTCAGGACGGAATACTGGAAATCACAACCAAGGAAATTCTGCCAGTACTGCAAGTGCTGGATTGCGGACAATAAGCCTGTGAGTATCCCAAAAGATGCAGAGCATGTTGCAGAGGGCAGTGTCCGATATACTATGCTCATTTGTCTCGCTTTGTTTTCCTCTGCAGAGCGTCGAGTTCCACGAAAGAGGGAAGAATCACAAAGAAAATGTGGCTGCAAAAATCACCGAGGTATTTACTTGTATACATATGTTTCCCTTTTCTGAAGAAACAATTTGAACACTCAACCTTTTTAGGAGTAATATGCTGATGAGTTGTAATTTAGTACATGGTAGAATCCGAATCAGCTGACCAACTGGGCTTTTAACATACTACACAGCCATGAAAAAACATCTTGGCACCATCTTCAGGACTGGAAGGAGAGATAAAGTCCAGACATCACACTCTGTCTCTTATACTCGCTTCTTATTGGCGACTTTGATGCTGCCACTCAACTCACTGTATCTGTCCTGCTGCAGATTAAAAAGAAGAGCATGGACAATGCGAAGCAGGAGGAACGCATGTCTAAAGACTTTCAGAAAATGGAGGAGGCTGCGATGAAGGCGTATCAGGAAGATCTGAAGAGGATAGAAAAGGAGTCAGGAGGTAATTGCTTGGTATGCTATTGATATAATGTGCAACATACAGGCTTAATTACATTTAGTTCTACATTCATGTGTTCTTGTTATAGGATCAGGCGTACCAGTCGAGACAACAACACAAGAGGAAACACCTCAGGTCATTAATCAAGCCAGATCTCTGGTGGGGCCCCAGGCAAGACCTAAAGTGGGACCCCAGGGTGGACCCCAGGGTGGACCTCAGGGTGGATACCAGTCCGGACCCCAGGGTGGACCTCAGGGTGGATACCAGTCCGGACCCCAGGGTGGACCTCAGTCCAAAAAACAGCAGAAGAAACAGAAAGCAAACCAGATGCCCAGAGGTCCAATGAGAGCGCAGGTCTGGGTTAAAGGACAGGCTGAGGATGGAAACGCTTACTATTACAACACAATAACAGGAGGTACACCAACATCAGCCTGTACACCAACACACTACCACAATATGTTATTGTTCAATCTACTTTTTCTAACTTGATTTTATGTTTGGTTTTTTTAACTACAGAATCTAGATGGGATAATCCAGAGTCTTTCCAGGGAGCAAACTCAGCCCCGGCACAGCCTGAAGTAAATACTTTTTAGTGTATTGATTTGGCTTGCTGATGACAAGCATTTATTTTGATATTGTGTTTTTCTTCAGAGATCTTCAGGGGGTCTTTGGACGGAAGCTGCCAGTCCCGAGGGTCACAAATATTACTACAACTCAGAAACTAGGGGTAAGCATTAGATCTAATATCAGTTTATTATTTTCCATTTCTTATTTCTATTGGGTGATCTACATGCTCCGCCTCCCTCACCTCACAGAGAGCAGCTGGGAGAAACCAGCGGGATTCACTTCAGGGAGTCAGGAGGAGGCCCCTCAGCCGGAGCCCCCGGGGGTAGAGGAGAGCTCCAGCGGGGCCCCAGCCTCTCAGGAGCCTGGAGTCCCTGAAGAAGCCCTCCAGCAGCCCCAATACCCAAAGATCAACTTCAGGGTGAGAGGACAGTGAATGAGAATCAATAAAGAATATCACTTTTGAGAAAGTCCTCATGCTTTTTCTCCCTTTATCAGAAAAGGAAAGCAGAGGCTGAGCCCTTAGAAAAGGAGGGACTAGATAAAGAGAGCGAGGAAGCTTCTAAAGGTGAGGCTGAAGAGGAAGTGAAAAAAGAGGAGGATGTCCAAAGCACAGCAGCTGCACCTGAAGAGAAAAAAGAGGAGGCACCAGTGAAGATACAAATCAGAATAAGACAAAAATCTGCCAATCCTTATGGAGCATGGGAACGGATCAAGGAAGAGGTGGATCCATAGTAAGTGATGGCTGATTAAGAAGCTGAATTAAATCCAGTTGGCAAACATGTGCTGCTAGATAATGGTTCCTTTTTCTTATCCTCTCCAGTTCCAAGGTGGACTTACAGCTTCCCAAGGTGGAGGGATACACTGCCAGCGCTCCAGCCTCCGGCCCGCCGCCGGAGCCAAAAACCAAGTTCAAGGAGCGCGTCATCACTTCCCTCGGAGAGGAAGGAGGGTCTACTTCATTCAGGAAGAACAAGACACAGAACGGCAAATCAAGAAGCATCCGACAGAGAGAGGAGGACGACGACGACTGACCGAAGAAAACCGTCACGCAGGAGACTTTCACACAAACACAACTCTTCTTCATGCCTCTCTGAAACCTCACAACAGCAGACTCTCTGTCAGCTGCAACAGACAGGAACTTTAGACATTTTGAGCTTTGTTGTTTTTTAAATGTATTTAGAAGTCTTTTGTTTTGTCGAGGATGATGACCAATTGTAGGACACCTTGGAGTAACCTGAAAAGTCAAATGCTGTTTATTTCCATCTGCCTTTCTCTGTTTTATTTCATATTAAAGTGAATATCTTTGACTAATTAAGACATTTACAGTCATCACCATGTACTTATTTGTAAAATCCACATAGTTAAATCAATCTAGAAAAATTGAAAATAATTGGTAGTTGCAGTCCTATTTTAAATCCTCCCTTGTTTTTCTACACAGAGCAAATCAAATATTTTTTTGTATTTTCCATATTTGTATTTTTTCATCATTGTGAAAGCTAGAAAGCCATTCTGTGGAACCATAATTGACTGTCATACTGAAAGAATAAAAGTGAAAGACCGGTGACTACGTGTTTTGAAATGATTTTAACTGAATGGATGTAGACATTAAAAGATGTAACATACGTAGAGAACATCCTGTAGGCTGCTGGTCAGCTGGCACACACACACGCAGGGCGGGAGAGTGTGTATTCAGCTGATAGATGGTGTTACCCCACCCTGACTGGCAGAGGACCATAAATACACACGGATAAATGCTAAAAATAAAGTTATTTGTGGTGGAAGGTATTACAAATGAGATGTACTTATATATTATTTTCCTGCTACTTTATACTACATCAAATATATTGTTCTTTTTTTACTCCATTACATTTATCTGACAGGTATAGTTCATATTGAAAAAGACATGAAAATGTACAGCTGATATGATTGGTGGATCTGGTCAATCGACAAATATGTTGATTGTGTCATTTAAAGGAAATATAGGTGACGATTTGGTGCTTTTCTATTTAAATGATTTTGCTTGATCTAAATCCATCTAATGAATATATACAGTAACATTAGAACAGTCACAGCGGCATAATACTTTTAAGTACAATTTCCTGATTATGTGTGGGTGTGTGGGATTGTGGAGCTTCTGTTCAACCTGAGCCTGAAGCAAGGGAGGGTACCACAACTGTCAGCTCTGTCCGGGGGAGTCCTCTGGACACTGTGGAGGTGGTGGGAGACAGGAGAATGGCAGCCAAGCTGTCCTCCCTGCTGGACGATATGTCCCACCCGCTCCAGGACACCCTGTCCTCACTGTGCAGCACCTTCAGCGACAGGCTGCTGCTGCACCCCCGCTGTCTCACGGAGAGATACCGAAGGTCTTTCCGTCCTGCAGCGGTCAGACTGTACAACCAGCACAGCCCCTAGTTGACCCCCCCTCCCCTACACACACCACAACACAGACTATATCAACCCTTGCTGCTAAATACCAACAAACTATGTGCAATATATAGATGCCGTTAATAGCTGTGTAATATATACCTGGCTGCTAAGTCCTAAGAACTGTTACAGGAGGTGTATTTATTTAAATTATGTAACTTTTTATTTTTTATTATATCATAACTTAGTACTTTTTTTTTAATGCATGTCACATATTTAACATATGTAACATTAAGCTGTCTGTGGCTCTTTTTCCTGCTGTAACTACGCACATTTCCCCTTCGTGGGACTAATAAAGGTATTCTGATTTCCACTTCCTTAGAACAGACAAAAGGCTGTCTCTAGAACCATTGGTTTGTAATGAATATGTAAGTGAGTTTCAACCATCTGGTCAACACTTCCTGTAATGTAAATCCGCTTGCTGAGCATCTTCCCCTTCCCTCCTTCTGTATGAGATAGATAGATTAAACTGTTTGACTTTTATTGACTTGATTAAATAACAAAACTTTGCTTTAAACTTCTATTATTTGCTCATTTCTTACCAAACAGGTTGTTTCTGTTTTTGTGTGGAATTTCCTCCACACTTAGTTTTCCAGA